TTTCTACTTCACGTTTTAGTTGTACAGAACCCTTGTTCAACTTAGCAGTAGTAGGCATATCCCTCATCTCATCATGATCAACCAAAGACAAATCTGCACCATCATGATCATTATCACGAATATTCATTTTACCGTCAGTTTCATCATTTTCAAACTCTTTAATAACAGAGGTAGACCATTTTGATTCTTCTTCCCAAATCCTAAAAGGTTTTATGTCTTCACTCTGACTAGTTATACCTTGTAAACTTGTAGGGTCAGAACTGCACTCTGAAGCAGCAACTCTATTCTGTGACACTCTATTCAACAATGGCTTACCAGTTGCAACTATAAACTTCTTGACCGCACCGTTATCGTCACACAATTCGGAGTCATGCCTGGAGTTTACATTTAGCTTATCACTGAACTTGCTTACTGGTTCGCAGTGTTAGAACATACTCCAAAGAAAATAGTGAAAATAAGTAGACACCGAACTGAATATATTCCAAGGGCACACCGTAATAAGTTAAGGAAGCTGAAGAAACAGTACTATTCCACTAAGGACATATCACTATTGCTCTCAATCCACGAGTCTCTTGAATCTCTCAAGCGCCTACGCTCTCAAAAGGACCTCGACGAAGAGTTAACGGCACTTGAAAGTACCTCCAAAGTTTATAACTTAACGGCACTTCTTAAAAAACGAATGCAGTCGGCGAGGGAAATCCCATACTTACTTCACGACAAAGTAATCTACAATGAACCTGCCACTATCTGTGAACTCTTCAGTGATTGGTTTGCAAACTTTAGTTTAGAAACACATATGCCTGGTGAAACCGCTCCCCTTACTATCTCTTCCCTTGAAAGCATTGTGTTCACTAATCAGTTAATAGTACAAGCAATTAAAAGCCTTAAACCTTCCACTAGTACGGGACCGGATGGCCTAGCTTCGATAATTTTCAAAAACAGTGGGTGTGATATACCCCTGTTACTTCTTAAATTCTTCTCAATATCTATGGACACTGGCACTTACCCTAGTGAGTGGAAAACTAGCTTCATAATTCCACATTACAAATCTGGTGATAGGGCAAACGTCCGCAATTACAGACCCATAAATATAACCCCAGTTATCTCACGAATCATGGAGAAAGTTGTAAAAGATCAATTGTCAGACTACCTAATTAGGGAAGATCTTGTTACAAGGTCTCAACACGGATTTCTCAAAAATAGATCCTGCGTTACTTGCCACTTCGACTTTTTCAACTGCATCACTAGTAGTCGCGAAGCACGTAAGCTAGTCGTTGTTCTCTACTTCGATATATCTAGGGCATTTGACATGGTATCTCACAGTATTCTCTTTGAGAAGCTGTACTCTTGTGGAATTCGCAACCCATTACTGAACTGGTTAAAATCATTTCTAAGCAACAGGGTACAAATAACCAAAGTTGGATCTGTATTGTCTCATCCTAGGCAGATCTCAAGTGGGGTCGTGCAAGGTAGTGTCCTAGGTCCACTTTTATTCACAGTCTACATTAACAGCATTTGCAAGTGCTTCACCTTAGGCAAACCATTCCTATATGCTGACGACCTCAAAGTCGTCTACTCCTGCTACACTCATGAATTAAGCGATATGGTTACTAAAATACATCTTGAACTAAGTAGCCTTGCAACGTGGTGTGCTGAATCCTGTCTAAACTTTAACATTGACAAATGCGGCTGGATTTGTATCGGCAACAGTAAGCTTGATCTAACTCTTGAAATAAATGGGCGAAAACTAGCTAAGCTCAACTCAGTCGTAGATCTCGGTATTAGATACTCTAGTAACCTAACGTTCGCTGAACAGACTGATTATGCCAGACGTAAAACGCGAAGGCTGATAGGATGCATAACACGCAATTTCTTTTGTTGTGAAACTAGGGTTTTATTATACAAAGTATGTGTCCGACCTATCTTAGAATACTGCCCGTTTATTCTTAGCGGACTCAGACAAAATGACAAGCTTAAATTAGAGGGAGTGCAACGGCAGTTTACCTCAAGAACTCTTGGTTTAGAAAGTGGTCTGGAATACCATGAGCGATGCGAAAGACTAAGATTAGAACCCCTCTGGAAAAGACGCCTTAAGCTAAACCTTATCTTTTACTACAAGCTAACTAATCTTCTCTTGCATTCCTCCGAGCCAATAACTAAACCTACCGCTGTCATCAGTTACAATCTTAGAAATCATCACAACCTAGCTGCTATGGAGCACTGTCAGACTTACGTGCGGTACAACTTCTTCTTAAATAAGTTTTCAGTCATTTGGAATAGACTACCAGCTAATGTGCGCGATGCAAACACACTTCCAGTGTTCATCTCCTCAGTCACCAGACTACTCAAAGATGACAATGCACTTTTGCGCCTGACTCTTACACCTTCTTTTTCACCATACATAGATATTTTAAGTTCTTTAAACGTGTAGTTACAACAAACTACAATTATAAATTTTAATATTATTGGAACTAGATGATAAACATTTCTACACAGGACAGTAATATTAGTTTACACATAATATAAAAGTTAGCATAACGGGACTAGTTAGTTTGTGTACCAAAATAACCACAGTTACTAAACAGAATATATATGTATATATTTATTAATCACTCCTTAAGGACTCCCGTTGCTTTCTTTTGCGTTGCTGTTGTTTGTCTTCTTTTTTCTCTCACCATTTCAGCTTCCATTTGACTTTTTGAATGAGAATGAATAATGTGGATATTTGACCATTTACAATGACAAATGATCTGCAAACATTATTGGTCCCGTATCTTTCAGTTGCCTGGTTAATAACGAATTAACTTTCTCCACGACGCAACCTGGATTACATTTGTGGAATATACTCTTATACCAATGGAAAAGTATCAATTTGTAATACAACGTCACGATTGTAGCTTATAACATCTGTAAAATAGCTTCCTTATTACCCAATTTGGATATAAATCAAATCAAAAATAAGATTCGGATTTGTACACACCCAAGTTATATTGAGGAATTACTTCAAGCTTTATTTTTTCCCAAGTATTTTTAATCCATCCAAAACTTACTTGGGTTTTTTTGTTAATGCGAAGACAATATTCCTATATTTCATGACGTGCTCCATTGAATGACTGGTTATCATATTGTTCCCACAGACCTAAAACAAAAACGCCAGCAACCATGTAACTTAACCATAAACCGAATTTATGAAATTTAAATAATGCTTACCCATGCCTGTATATTTGGTGTGTCCTACACAAGTAGGAAAAAATGTGTATTTTATTAAAACATTATTATTAATTATGATTGCTAATCGTATATGTAATTTATCATATTGATGATGCCTGTAAACTGGCGTCTCTCATGTACAAAATGAGAATATACTATTATTATTAACCATCTTTTCCAAAATATATCTTTCATTTGCCTGGCTTGTTTCCATCTTTTAATCGTAGGTATTCCTTCCCCGCTTGCGTCCTCTATGCCAGGGTTGCCTCTCAATAACAATAATTTATTTGGGGTTAACACAGCAAAATCCTTGACGTCGTTCCTCACAGGTGATAACGGCCGGTCATTTAATATTCGTTCAGCTTCACAAAAACATATCTCCAGCGTTTCGTCATTCAAACTCTGGTTTTTAAATATGGAGCTTAAAATACGCTTGATAATTCCTATAGGTCTTTCCCACAGCCCGCCTCTATGGCTGGCATGTGGTGGATTGAAGTGCCACTCGATGTTCCTTTTCAGTAACTCTTCCTGAACTCTCGTTTGGGGACCTTCGAAGTACTCTTTAAGCTCGGCGTGACAGCCAACAAAATTAGTCCCTCTGTCGCTGAACATCATCTTCGGTACACCCCGGCGATTTATAAATCTATGTAATGCTAGCACGAATGAATCAGTAGTTAGCGTATGAACCATCTCAATATGCACAGCTCTCATTTTCAAACAGGTGAATAAACAGCCATATCTTTTACATAGGGTTCTGCCTCTCTTCACTACCAAAGGTCCGAACAAATCCACCCGAACGTACTCAAATGGATAATTCCCTTCAGAAGCTTACCACGCTGGGAGTGGTGCCATCATCTGCTGTACTGGACGAGCATTTCGGAGTTTACATTCCATGCACTTATCAATTATTTTACGGACAGCAGTACCTCCCTTCACTATCCAGAACTTACATCGAATACTTGATAGTACTTGCGAAGTACCCAAATGATCTTCAAGAACATGGTAGTGTCTTATAATGAGATCAGTGACTGGATGGTAGCAAGGTAATAAAGCCTGATGACGGGTCTCATATGACGATTCTAACATTTGTAGACGTCCACCAACTCCAGCCATCCCTCCGGAAACTATCGGAGATAATCTATCTAACCGCATCTTGAAATCTGCGATATCGGGACTATCGTCCTTGGCAATCTCACCCCACGCTTCCCACTGAGCAGCCCTCAAAATCGCTAACGCTGCATTTCTAATATCTGCGACTCTAAAAGGCCCCTGTCAGTCACGTCTCATAAACCGTTAATGCCCAGCTCTTGCTACGCTCGGGCCCACGCTGTTCCTTGCAGTTTTTCAGAAACGCTTAGTAATAACGGACGAAAAATCGAAACACCGATTGGCCGCTTGGGAATTCTTTATTGTAACACCAACATATAAAAAATATTTCCACTAAGGTCTGTGAACAAATATTACAATAATAAATCACTAGATTACTTCTGATGGTTTGCTACTGACTTCTTTCTGAACAGCGACCGATGAGACGATGACTGTCGTATTGATGCCTTCGCGAAAATTGGGGAAGTTGGTTTTGAGCTAACAACCATGAATTGATCGTTCAATCTTCAACTCCATTGACAGCCCCACATTCATATTTTCGTATCCCGCAAGATGCATGACTTTTAAATACGTAACATATCTTGTCAACCACGCAACAGCTTTCAGTAATTTGTACCAAGAAGAATAATATTTAAAAAGTGTTAATGTAAACCTGAATGTCTTTCTTGAGTAAATGTTAAACTGACATTTGTCTTCAACTCCAAGGCACACTCGTTTATCGGTGGTTCATCTTCTCTACGAGGCCACATACAATCAGCCCTTAGCAAGAACTCTGGACCTTTCCATCACTTATTTTTAACCACATTCATACCAATAACTCCTCGCGAGGCTAGATCAGCTGGATTTTTTCCAGATGGTACGTACCTCCACTGCTCAACAGTTGTTAGTTCACGAATTTGAGATACTCTGTTAGCTACAAAACATGCATATCTTGCTGACTCGTTGCGTATATAATATATCACAGACATCGAATCAGTCCAAAACGTTACGGGATGCTTGGGGTAATCCAACTCTTTACACACCGTTGTGAATAACTGCGCAGTCAGTAAGGCTGCAGTAAGTTCTAATCTCGGAATCGAAACCGTCTTTAGAGGTGCAACTCTAGATTTACCCATCACCAGGCTAACATCTATATCATTCCTTAAGGTGGTTCTGATGTATACGGCTGCACCAAATCCAACCTCAGAGGCATCAGAAAAAACATGGAAGTCAACGTAGCACCATCTACAATTCATGTGGGACATGAATTCCCAGGTAGCGATCATAAAATAGTTGCATGTTCGTTTAACATTTCCCCAGAAACTATACACAGAAACAAAGTTAGTCGGACACCTATAAGACCATACACGCGGGTTGATTGGGACTTGTATCAGGACTTGATTAGATACTCTAATTGGGATTCCTACTCTACCAATGACTCCTTAGAGGAAGTCCTTAAAAACTTCTATGACAATATACAGTCGGTTAATGATGTCATAGCGCCTGTGAAACTGATTAAATTCAAAATCCCTCATGGTGATTTTATTCCAATATCATTAAGAAGAAGTTTGCGGAAGCATTCATTAAGTTACTATAGACATGACGACTTATCGTCGTTAATCGCTATCAAAACAATCCTCATTAGAATCCATGAGTTAAAAAATCTAAGTCTTAGGAATAAAGAAACGCGGGCAATTCAGTCGCCACATAACACTGGAGAAATAGCCAAACTCTTCAAAAGTAGGTTAACTAACTCCAAATCAACATATCCAAAAATAATACACCTAGGTGGCATTACTCACGAAAGTGCTGAGGATATATGTGAGGTGTTTAGCACGCACTTTGCCAAACTGTACACTCTAGAAAATGACCAGGATATAGATTTCCCTCGTAAAACAGAAAAGTGTCTAAGCGATGTAGTCTTAAACGCCCAAGAAATCGATAAATCTATCACAACTCTTAAGCTTACTAATACTCCCGGCCCAGATGGAATGTCTTCCGTCCTCTTAAAAAATGGTGGAAATGACATGAATCTACTTCTTCTCAAGATATTTTCAACTTCGATAAGGAGTGGAACATATCCAAATAGCTGGAAGAAATCCTACGTTGTACCTATTCACAAAACCGGACCTATAGCGGACATAGATAATTACCGCCCCATCAACATTACTTCCGTAGTTTCACGTGTGATGGAAAAGATTGTAAAGAAGCAAATTGTTCAGTATTTGCACTCGAATGACTTGATATCCCCTTTCCAATACGGTTTCCTAAATAGAAGATCGTGCATTACGTGCCAGTTAGATTATTTCGATCACATTACTGAATGTGTAGACAAAGGTCGTTCGGCAGCAACATTATTTCTAGATGTTAGGAAAGCTTTTGATAAAGTCCCACATAAAATACTCATACTGAAACTCCTATCTTATGGAATAAGTGGAAGGCTTCTTGAGTGGATAACTTCCTTTCTTACAGGAAGAGAACAGTTAGTTAAAGTCAACCATCACTTAAATAAAGTATAATTATATTTGAATAGTTTACACACAATGATAAGTTTTGTTATTGGTAATATTTCGAGCAAAATTACTGCCCGTGTTCACACCACTGTTGGAATTGTTTTATTCACACATTTATGATTTGTATTCACATATATAGTTCATTATTATTATTTTGTTCATTCATGTTTTTTGTGTGCATATGTGTGTTCAGAATTATACTCCACATTCATTCATGTGTTTGTATTTAGAATTATATCCCAAGTTCATTCATGTTTTGTGTGTGCATATGTGTGTTCAGAATTATACTCTACATTCATTCATGTGTTTGTATTTAGAATTATATTCCAAGTTGTTGATAGTTGTACTGAGTCACCCTTGTTACATGTATCCGGTGTGGCTTTAATGAATATCGATTCTGTTATGAGTCTTTCTTTCCATTTGTTCATGTTTGTTTTTAGAATACATACATTGTCCCAATCGATATTGTGGTTTTTGTCCCATGCATGTGCAGCTATGGATGAATTTTTTTCAAGATTTTTGTAGGCTTGTGTCCCTGTTGGTTGACCTTTAGTTAGGCGTTTATGTTCATTCACTCTTATTTTGAGTGATCTGGACGTTTGCCCCACATATTTAGTTGGACAGTCAGCACAAGATATTTTATAAATCAAATTGTTTTTATCCATCATTTTTATGGGATCTTTTAGTTGATTTATTTTATTTTTGATTAGATTTGTCGGTTTAAAGGTTGTTCGAATACCGATATTTTTGAGGTTTCTTTGTATTGCTTCTGATGTACCATTTTTATATGGTATTACGACCGTTTTTCTCCATTCTTCCATCTTATTATTCTCCAGTTTTACCCTATTTTTTCTCTTTTTTATATTATCCTTTATAAATTCTTTAGGGTAGTTGTTTTCGAGTAACATTGTGAATAGAACTTTTATTTCTTTACGCTGGTCCTCTGGTGCTGTTGTAAGTCTACGTATTCTATCTGCAAGACCCTGTATTAATCCTCGTTTTACCGAGAGTGGATGAGCTGAGTAATAGTCAAGGAATCTTCCAGAATGTGTGGCTTTTCTATATATCGTTGTTTTTATGCTACCATCTGTCATTCTTTGTAGCTTGCAATCTAACATGGGTAGTTCTCCAATTTCATTCTCTAATTCCATAGTAAATTTTATTGAGTCGACGTGTTTGTTTATGTGTGATAAAAGTTTCTCAGCATCGTTTTTTTTCACTATTACTAGCGTGTCGTCTACATATCTCCACCAACATTTTAGTGATGATCTGAATGGTTTAAGGGCATTCTCCTCCCAATAATCCATGAAAATGTCAGCTATAATTGGTGAGATAGGCGATCCCATGGCTACTCCCTCATTTTGTTGGTATATTTTTCCTTCGAATGTGAAATATGTTGTTGTCAGACAGAATTCTATCCCTTTTATTATTTCTTCTACGGATAACTGTGTTCTGTCTTTCAGGCCATTATCTTCATTTAGTTTCTCTTTCAGTGCAATCATGGCCATTTGAATGGGTATTTTCGTGTAAAGACTGTTTACATCAAAGCTAACTAGTATTTCTTCCTCCTCTATTTTAGTGGTTTTTATTCGCCTCACTAATTCAAATGAATCTACTATTCTAGCTTTTGAGTTGTTTCTTGTCGGTCTTAGTATTGTCGAGAGAAATCTGGATAGCATATACGTTGGTGTGTTTCTGAAGTCTACAATCGGTCTTATTGGATATCCCTCTTTATGCAATTTTATCTTACCATATATCCTAGGTACATTACAGGATTTTGGCATAATTTCAAACCATTTTGACTTACCGATTACTTCTTTCATTTGTCTAACTACCTTTGCTGTTTCTTTCATTGTTTTGTTGATGATCGTTTCAGCCGATTTAGTCATTATGGTATAGGGTCCAGATTGTAGATGTTCATTCATCTTTTGATTATATGTTGTTTTGTTAAGTAATACTGTCGTGTTTCCTTTGTCTGCTTGAGTAATGACAATGGATTTGTCTGCTTTTATGTCTTGAAGTGCTTTTAGTTCCTCTTTCGTTATATTTGGTTTTTCTGCTTTTTGCTTTTTCAATGTAAGTGCACATTGTGCTCGTACCAGTTCAGCTTTTTGCTTGTCATATCCTTCGAGTGCTGTTTCAATTGCAGGTATGATGTCTTCAGGTTTTAATCTTTTGTTGCTGATATTGAAGTTCATCCCTTTCATTAATACACTTTCCTCTGCTTCTGTTAACTTTCTGTCTGACAAGTTTACAATCCAATTGGCTTTCGTTACTTGTCTGTCATTCGGAGTTTTCGCTATCATGAGTTTATTAAATTTTTTGATTTGTTTCTGCTTTGTTTTTTCATAAGTAGTTTCTTTTCGTTTTTGTGCAACTTGTAGTATGCTTTCATACTTTTCTTTTTCGATTACTTCTTTCAATTTTTCTTTTATTTCATTAATATCTTTCCTTATCGTGAATAGCTTTTGTATAATTCCACGTAGGTTTTCTTTGATGCATACTTTTGAGGCATGTGTGAGCGCTGCATTTGCTTTATCAGTAGATATTGGTGATTTTAATTTCATGTATACAGGAATAATTCCATTTTTAAGGCATCTGATGTTGAAAATTCGATGGTTCATAAATCGAGATTCAGCTTGATATAAATGTGTGAGTTTGTTGGCCAGTCTTTTAATGGGAAGACCGTCAGTTGAATGAAATTAAAATCACCAATATCTACTGATAAAGCAAATGCAGCGCTCACACATGCCTCAAAAGTATGCATCAAAGAAAACCTACGTGGAATTATACAAAAGCTATTCACGATAAGGAAAGATATTAATGAAATAAAAGAAAAATTGAAAGAAGTAATCGAAAAAGAAAAGTATGAAAGCATACTACAAGTTGCACAAAAACGAAAAGAAACTACTTATGAAAAAACAAAGCAGAAACAAATCAAAAAATTTAATAAACTCATGATAGCGAAAACTCCGAATGACAGACAAGTAACGAAAGCCAATTGGATTGTAAACTTGTCAGACAGAAAGTTAACAGAAGCAGAGGAAAGTGTATTAATGAAAGGGATGAACTTCAATATCAGCAACAAAAGATTAAAACCTGAAGACATCATACCTGCAATTGAAACAGCACTCGAAGGATATGACAAGCAAAAAGCTGAACTGGTACGAGCACAATGTGCACTTACATTGAAAAAGCAAAAAGCAGAAAAACCAAATATAACGAAAGAGGAACTAAAAGCACTTCAAGACATAAAAGCAGACAAATCCATTGTCATTACTCAAGCAGACAAAGGAAACACGACAGTATTACTTAACAAAACAACATATAATCAAAAGATGAATGAACATCTACAATCTGGACCCTATACCATAATGACTAAATCGGCTGAAACGATCATCAACAAAACAATGAAAGAAACAGCAAAGGTAGTTAGACAAATGAAAGAAGTAATCGGTAAGTCAAAATGGTTTGAAATTATGCCAAAATCCTGTAATGTACCTAGGATATATGGTAAGATAAAATTGCATAAAGAGGGATATCCAATAAAACCGATTGTAGACTTCAGAAACACACCAACGTATATGCTATCCAGATTTCTCTCGACAATACTAAGACCGACAAGAAACAACTCAAAAGCTAGAATAGTAGATTCATTTGAATTAGTGAGGCGAATAAAAACCACTAAAATAGAGGAGGAAGAAATACTAGTTAGCTTTGATGTAAACAGTCTTTACACGAAAATACCCATTCAAATGGCCATGATTGCACTGAAAGAGAAACTAAATGAAGATAATGGCCTGAAAGACAGAACACAGTTATCCGTAGAAGAAATAATAAAAGGGATAGAATTCTGTCTGACAACAACATATTTCACATTCGAAGGAAAAATATACCAACAAAATGAGGGAGTAGCCATGGGATCGCCTATCTCACCAATTATAGCTGACATTTTCATGGATTATTGGGAGGAGAATGCCCTTAAACCATTCAGATCATCACTAAAATGTTGGTGGAGATATGTAGACGACACGCTAGTAATAGTGAAAAAAAACGATGCTGAGAAACTTTTATCACACATAAACAA